GGGGGATGGGGAATGGTGCTTGCTTTCTCTAATCTCAATATTGAACTGAGCTGTGACTGGGCTGGCAGCTGCATTGCTGCTGCTTCTCCTTCCTCTTTCTCCTTAATCTGTCTTTTCCTTCTCCCTCTTCTCCTCCTTCTTGTTTCAAGTAGTGCCATTGTAGTTAAACTTCCGGGTAAAGACAGCATCTTTCTTCAAAAGGAAGTCAATGTTGTCACCTCAGTTCACAAATTCATGCAGCCACCTCCAGGGTAGAATGCAGCACCTGCTAAAACAGTCCCTTAAATCAAGCCCACAGAGGCATGTTCTCTGCACTTTCCTTAAAAGGCTAGATTTTGCCTAAAGAAGTTTGAAATAGAACTTAAAATAGATGGGCAAGCTCATTTAGAATTAGATTCACTGCCCTCCATCTTTCTCCTCATCTATTGATCATGACTGACTTTTTTAAGAAGAAACTCTGTTGGGTCCTAGAATCTGCTGCTATCTCAGTTTCTACTTTTCTAGATTTTTCTGTTACCTGGCTAGACAGACCAACAAAAATCCCAAATCTCACTTCTGATACAAAAACTTGCTTTTATCTGATAGGATTAATGTAGATACCACTTATGTATTGAGCACCCTCCTGGATGCTTTGATCAGAATCTGAGGGAGGAGGTTATTTAAAAAAGAAGAAAAGAGAAAAAATACTAGAAGATTAGGCTTTTGCCTTCCATTCTCTCAGAGACTAAAAGCAATTATAATGACAAAACCATGGTGTTTAATGTTTTACATCTATTGAGTTATTTAATGCTCACAACAACCCTATGAAATAAGGTACTATTATTACACTCATTTTATTGATGGAGAAACTGAAGCGAAGAGATAAATGACTTGCCCAAAGCCACACAGATAGTAATTCTCAAAGCCAGGACTCGGACTCAAACATTTTTGCTTCAGAACCCAATGCTTAACTAGCTACCAGAAGCTGCCTCCTTAGAAAGAGCTAATATAGAATGTTAAAATAGTTGAAAACAGAAACATCTACACACAGCATGAGATCAGGAGACAGGAAACCTCTGCCACTCCAAAACTGTGCTCCTAGACCACTTAGATCTCTGGACCTATTTTTTTAGCCATGAAACCAGAGCTGTTTTATAACTCTTAGTAATTCTCTAGTTCCTGGGTACAAAATCATCACAGATCAACCACTATAATCTCAAAACTCCTACTATCTGTATAATTTGACCTAACTTGCCTTTCGTCCCTATTCAACTTTTATTTTTCTCCCCCCGCCCAGCTTTATTGACATATAATAGACAATTAGTTGCTCATATTTACGTTGTACAATTCGATGAGTTTTTTTCAATTATAGTTGGCGCACAATAATATACCAGTTTCAGTTGTACAACCTAATAATCAGAGATCCACATAACTTGCAAAGCGGTCACCCCACTAAATCTAGTACCCCTCTATCCCCTTACATATTTGTTACATTATTAACCATCTTCCCCCTGCTACACTCTACATCCCCATATCTATTCTGCAACTATCCATTTGTACCTCTTAATCCCTTTGCCCTTTTTCCCCCCCCCCAAACTTCTTCCCATCTAGTAGCCCTCAAAATATTCTCTGTATCTATGAGTTTATTACTGCTTTTGTTGTTTATTTGTTCTTTAGATTCCACACGTACATGAAATCATGCAGTATTTGTTTTTCTCTATTCTTCCCATTTCATTCAACGCGATATCCTCTAGGTCCATCAAGCCGATATCTTTCTCCATCACCTTCCTTTTAGTCTGTGTGTGTCTTTTAATCTGAAGTGGGTCTCTTGTAGGCAGCATATGTAGAGGTCTTGTTTTCTTATCCTTTCAGCCACTCTATCTTTTGGTTGGAGCACTTAATTCTTTTCCATTTGAGGTACTTATTAATAGGAATGTAGTTATTACCATTTTTCATTCATGTTTTTGATACATTTTTTTCTTCTTAAAGAAGTCCCTCCAACATTTCCTGCAATACTGGATTGGTGTTGACAAATTCCCTTAGCTTATTTTTGTCTGGAAAGCTCTTTATTTGTCCTTTGACTCTAAATGATAGATTTGCTAGATGAAGTACTCTTGGTTGTAGATCCTGGGTTTTCATCACATCAAATATTTTGTGCCAACCCCTTCCGTCTTGCATGGTTTCTTTTGAGAAATCAGCCGCCAGTCTTATGGGTGCTCCCTTGTAAGTAACTAACTGCTTTTCTTTTGCTGATTTTAAGATTCTTTCTTTGTATTTAACCTTTGGCATTTTAATTATGATGTGTCTTGGTGTGGGCCACTTTGGGTCCCTGGTTCTGGGGACTCTCTGAGCTTCCTGGGGTTGTATGTCTATTTCCTTCACCAGGTGAGGGAAGTTTTCCATCATTATTTCTTCAAACAGCTCTTCAACATCTTGTTTTCCTTCAGGTACCCCTATGACACAAATATTTTTACATTTAATAGTGTCCCGTAGGCTCCTTAAATTATTATTACAGCTTTGGATTTTTTTTTCCTGTCATTCTGATTGAGTGTCCTCGGCTTCCCCATCCTCTGTATCGATGGTTCAATCCTCATCTTTATCCACTCTGTTTTTTTCATCTACTATACTCTTGATCTCAGATAATGTGTTCTTCATTTCAGTCTGTTTCCCCTTTATCATTTCCATTTCCATTTTTATGTTTTTTTAATCTCTTTGTTTCGGTTCTCACTGAGTTCATCTACTCTTCCCCTACATTCACTGAATATCTTTATAACTAGTGTTTTGAACTCTACCTCTATTAGATTACTTGACTCCATTATTCTTGGATCTCTGTTCTGTTCTCTCAGATGGTTTCTGCTTTTTTTGTCTTCCCATTTTGGCTGCCTTTCTGTGTCTGTTTCTATGTACTAAGCAAAGCTCTTAAGTCTCCCGGTCTTATTAGTGCAGCTTTGTTTTGTAGGTATCCAGTGGCACAGTCCTGAGAGGGGTTCAGCTGCAGGCAAAGTTTAGGCCCAGCCTGTGCCCCTCCAGGGCCATCTGTTAAGCTTCAGCAAGCAATGCGCAAATGCTGTGCTTATAGGTGCCTCAAGAAACCACACCAGAAACCAAGGCCAGCTGCCACTAGTGTGAATCTTGGCTCTGCTCAGCAAGGAGCACCTGAATCACTGAGGACACACCTGGTTGTTGCTTGGGTGGGTCCAGGAGTTGGAGGAGGTGGAGTTTCAGGGAACTCTCTGAGTAGAGCGACCTCTGTTATCCAGTTTGATGACATCACAGCTATGGTGGCAATGCACCTGCACACTGGGAGTAGGGAGGGCTCAACAGAAGAACAATGGATGCCACCAGCACTGCTGTCTGGAAGAGACCCTAGCCTTTGGCCCTCACTCCAACAACTCAGTGTTCCCCTGTAAGTCCCTGGTGCCCTTCACGCAGCCGAATCAGTACTGGTACTCAGATCGAGCAGGTCCAACACCGCGAAAGTCCGTTTGTGGACATGGCCCCTTTAAGAGGTGTCTGCAGCTGCCACTGCCACAGCCTCCATCCCATTCAGCCACTTGGT